CGGCAGAAAAACAAAACACTTTTTAACCAGATTTGCGATACAAAACGGTAAATGAGCTTTTGTATCCGATTTGTAGTAATTGTTTGACACAATAACGAATAACTTTATTTTGTAATTCTATAAACACTGCATGTATCATGCAAATATAAAAATTTTTATCCACATGCTATTTCACATTGATTGCACAAAATTCAGGACAAAATTACAGAATTTCGAATTAATTTTTATGCATCAAAATAACCGCCATTGTATGCATTTAATGCATTTTTTTTAAAACTAGAAATAAATTTTTGTACCAATTTAAAAAACTCTGAGCTTGTAAAGTAGAAATTAACTAATTTAGTTAAAATAAATTTTTACGCGGAAAAATAACAAATTTTTTGCACTAACCTGATATCTTTGATTTTTCTATAGAAGTTTTTGAACTATTGACTCTGACTGTTTGCGATTAAAACGTGAAGGACGACGAAATGGACGATCGATCGAGCAAATGGCATAATTCCCTGTTTACAGATCCAGTTACATGTTCCATAGAAAGCTCTTGTCTTAGATGGACGCAGTTGGTCTTGCCTTCGTCTATCTTCTTATCACGATGTAAGTCGTTCGATTACTTTCTCTCGTCTCGAGAATTCTCTTTTCGCCCGTGACGAATGGACTGACAATCGAATCCTCTCGAATTTCTTTCTAACTTCGCAATCTCTGGTCCTAGCTTCGATTTGATACAATCTTTGAATTTGTCGGAATTTTTCGTGTCGGAATGTTTAGGCTTGTAAGACATTTTTTTCAATTCGTGGCCGTTCATTAGAATTGCTGTAGCCTCAATGTCGATGTATTAATTATAAGTAGGAGTATGTATATATATACATATATATGAACTGTGTGATATATACACAGTAGAAAATAATCCCAAATTGTTTAGAGTATTGAATGAAATCTCCTAAGCTACTTTCCACGAATGAATCTTACTGAAATCGCTGCATTTAAATAGCATCTGCGGAAGCAATAAGTTTCGTAACATCGGTAATATAAGCTGGCACATTTCTAACGTGATAATGTAGAGAATTAGAGCTTGAACGCGATCGAAAACGTTTCTGCAAAAGCTGAATTCACCCTTGTATACTCAATTACGCGATCTCAACAGTGTTTCGTGTACTAACGAGCGAACGCAAGCAACGGTGTTTTTTTTTTTCGCCTATCGCAATGTTATTGATTTAATACTGCGATTTAATAGCGCGCTGTTTGCCTTCGCTTTACGCTATACTGACATTTTGTCGACTATTGTCGACTATTGTCGACTATTGTCGCCATCGAGCAGAAATATTTTTGTCATATATTTATTCAATTAAATCCACAATTGTCGAATGCCGACATTTGGCGATGACGTTACTCGCATCACTTGCAGTGATTCGGAGCAATTCATGAACAAAATATTTTTACGCGTAAGATTTTACAGAAACAACAGCGTCCAATTCTTCCGTTTCTTTTTTCTCTTCTTCATTATAAATTCGGTGGAAATTGTTTCTTAAACAACACTGCCCTCTGAATATGAACTGGACGGATATTACACATAATCAAGTACTCACAAAACTCCACTCTTAATATCGCGAGAAAGAACTTGTCGTCTAACTCGATTAAGTAGATTAACAATTAAGCAGATTGTTATCCATAGCAATTTCAGTTAACATAAACGGCGGCGCTGAACTTGCGTGTTTCAAACAACTCCATTAATCTACACCGAGAAACTTCCGGCAAATCGCAAGCACGGCTAACTAATCAAGAGGAGGTCGAGAGCGATAGAACGCGCGTTTCATGTGACGGACTTGCGGTCGAGTATGGCCTCTTACCGACCGCTGACGCACGCTTGTCCCTCGGTGGAATCTCCAATTATGAGTTCTCGACATCGGTTACGCTTCACGGTGGAAGAGCGTGGCCCCGCGGGGGAGTCCTCCGGACCACTTGATCTCGTAACCGGTGCAGCCTCTTAACGTTTCGAACATCGATTGTCGCACCCTCTCGGGGGGCTTAGCAAGTTTGCGTCCACGTGGACAAAGGAGTTCGGTTGTAAATGTTGACGCAATACGGTTGGTCGTGATTTCAGTGGCTTCGCCAACTCACGTATCTCACTGTCAACTTGATACCGTGGAGACGGAAGTGGTATTTCCAAATAGAGTGCAATCCCTCTTGAACCCATATGAAATTGAACAGCAGTAGCATTATTATACCTTACGCTTTTCATCCTTTTGCACACACACACTCGCGCGCGCGCGCGCGCGTGTGATAAAAAATATTTTTTAAAAATAGAAAATGTATTAAAAATGTTAAAAAATTCGGATTATATCAAATATTAATAAAAAAAATTCTATTTGCAGTGTAGCGTGCATTAAATGCGCCTATATCGTCACTTGTAATTGTACACCGAAGTCGATAATATTTTCGTAATAGCTTCCCTCTTCCTGCGCCACTCCACGTGTTTACGATAAATCGGTGTCGAGTGGTCTCGACTTCGAGAGAATAAAACGTTACCGATCGAATGGAGTTTACGGAATCTTTTTTTTGCGACAGTTACTCAACGTTAATGGATTTTAACTGTTACCGTGTATACAGTAAGATAAGCAAAGCGCCTTAGTGAGAATAATACGATTTTCACTTCCTCCAATAAGTTCGCCTGCGAATTTTCAGGTCGCAATACGACAAACAGCTTATTGCATTATCACGACATACGTACGAGTGATACAAGCCATTCTTTTTATTCTAAAGCATAAAAAAGTTTTAGACAAAACATAAAATTCGTGTATTTTAACGCACTATAGCTTCTACCTATAAAAACTCTACAAAATTTATCGCCATCCTAAAAACTATATAATATTATACGAGATTAACATATCTTGAAATTTTATGACTGACTAGTACCACTGATCCAGCTAGCCGCTCATATGAAAATGTCACACGGAAATGGCGGATTATACCGCCATTGGTGAGATAGTAAATTTACTTGTGCGGTAGGAATTTGCGGAAAGGCGACATAGAAGAAAGTAATTTAGATCACTCCTCAAAGGAACCAGCTTGAAACGCGCCACGAAATTACTACTGTTGGACCGTGAGTCAAGCTCCTCGTAGTAACTCAAGCAGAGGCATTTTATTGGAATTCGGCAATTTAGACGGAAATAAACGTTTTTACGCAGATGCGTTTTATCGCTCTCGTAATATAACAACTGTCGTATTGTCAAAAACAAGTGGTGATATTTTTCAACTCTAAAGCTGAAACAATTTTTAAACAAGAGAGGAGAGAGATCTTTTTCTCTTACGCAGCAATATAATTATAAAAATTTCAGAACGGCATTGAACAAAATTATCCTTGAACCGTATATTTTTTATTCAGAAGTAGACACGTGCCTCTGCGTATTACGCAATCATGACACAAGATCTTTAATAAGAAAAATTTGCCCGAAAAAAACAATTGCATTATTTACAAAAAAGATATGTAAGCAAGAAGCTTCATCGGTACATCACTACAATGCAACGCACGTAATGACAAACTGCGACGAGGGTCGAACGCGGTTCTCGCCGAGTACATAAAAAGCGCCATCCTAACTTTGGCAATCTGTTTTAGTTTCAGAGTTAATATCCCCCGGGAGAGGCTAAATGTGCTTTCCCGCATGTTTACGCTTACGTGTAGTCGTATAGATTGTTTCGGCAATACGCTGCACACTGACGCAAAAGTAAGACGATAACCGTCAGGAAATTTGTGGCGCGAGATGCCGAAGTTGAAAAGGGAGACGAATTCGCGCAGTCATATTCCGAACGACTTGCCGCGTCGAAAAGTTATGAAGAAACCGCAAATTCAAAATGGCTTTTCCGCGATATTTTCGGTACACGAATTTTCCGATAGGATTTTCAAAAACGACGAAAGAAACGCCCTTCTAATTTAAAAAAAAAAATATATATTTTGAACCGACAACTATAGCGCGCGTGCAGCTGTATATTGTTACGCGATGCGAAATCTCTTCCTTCGACAAGAAATAACTTCGATATGGAATACCATGAGGAATACGAGTCGATTAATGCGTCGTCGAATGGAACTCTCTTACACGGCCGTCCTTCTCGTATAACGCAAGCGCGCAATAACTTCCACCTGTCCGCGAGCGTCGTACGTGTTCCGGATGTTATACTAGCGGGAATAGTTTGCGATTTTATGGAACGAATGCTTTCTTGCTGTCTGCGGATGTATTCTACTATCGTATGTAGTCCTTATACCCTTCATCCGAGATATAAATTGTACGCTTGTACTAAATTGCACGCTAAGATCTGACCCCGCTGTAGCTAAGGCAGTAAAAGAAGTCTTTCCTCGGCAGAAAAGCTCCTCGCCGCGGGACACGACAATGCCCGTAATTAAAATGAGAAATTTATCATCGATGAGCAACCAAGATTGATTAATTCTTCATAAACTCGTTCTCGGCGTAGCCAAGTAAATGAGTCAATTATTCACGTAAATTGCTTCAGATGTACCTGTCGTTGTCTCGTGCAAAATATCACGTCTTCTAAAAGCTCGTTTAAACAGCTTGCGTACATCTTAAGTAGATATTTGTCGCTCGAGTGCACTCGCGAGCACACCGATCGTTCAATTTCATCTTGTAGAAAGGCTGAAGTGCACCTGAGACGAGAGACGACAACGAAATCGTTCTCGCGTAGTAAAATCCTTTACATCAATCGATTTATACAGTAAACCTGTGGAAATTTCTACGCGTATATTTTATAAAAATACATTCAATAAAATTGTACGGCTGAATTACGACGAGATTGTTCGGGACAGCTTCAATTTTCTGATACATACCTACATATTTTAGGAATATCTTTTATATTAATTTAATATATATTTTCAATTCTTTTTAATTTATGTATCTTTCAATAGAGATATTTTTTCGGAGGGAGAATATCTCTCAGCTTTCAGATGCGTATATTATCGGCTGCGACTAAAATACGGACCAATCTTTATGACTCACCCCGTCCGGATGATATTTCGGCACGCCGCCCGGCGTCGTGTTGCTCCCGCAAAACTCGGCCAGAACATCCTGCAGTTTTCGCGTGGAATCTGAAAAATGATTAACAGCCCGTTAGTTGCATGCAATAAATTAATTTTTCGCGAGATACTTGTGTTGGACGCGCCGCACACGTTACGAGCGTGCGTAAGCGACCGAGTTTCTCACTATTTCTGGTGGATTAGACAGAGAAAGGGGAGAAAACGATTGATCGACCATCCAAGATTCAACTGTTTACAGAAGAAACGACGATAAATGGACTAATAATAGGAGGCCGTTGGCCGAATCCGTCCGCCGCACCGACGTCATAATGCACTTAACGGACTGAGATATTTTCGGGCGCCTACTATTTTCAGGCCGATTGACGACCACGGCGATGGATCGTATTCGGACGGGCAGATGATTAACGTGGCAGAGTTTCATGTTTCCGCTTCGGTATCGGCTCGCCCGCATAACTGCCGGCGATTATTGAACGATTGTTTTATAGCAGGGAGATGTTTGCACAAATAGGCAGTTCGCGGATATTAGCTTTGATGGATCTTCCGTTGGAAATTGTAGTCGGAAAAACGAAGGAAAACTCTACGATTCAACTGATCACAATATTTGCATTTGTTTGCAAAATATTTTCAATATAAGTAAAATTTTCCTGAAAAAGAAATTGATTAATATTCGATATCAAGCGATTCAATATATATTTTACATCATTCTTTTACTCGAAGAAAATACTCGAAAATTTTTTTCTACTAATATCAATTAAAATTTCATTAAATACGATATGCGACGTACATTTAATTACTCTTTACAAGATCGTTATCGCAATAGAGTTACTTTTATATAAGAAATTATCATTAGAAGATGTTAGAGACGTATATTTTACAAATTTCCCGATCTTCACAATCGAGTTGCGAATAGTTCTTTTTGGCGTTTCGCGCAATGTTGCTCCGTTATATATTTCGAGTGAAAGATTATCACGATGATAGCCGTATTACGGCGATACCGGTAAATGTGTCGACGAATGGCGGCAATTTATTCTGCCCGTGGAACAAAGTGCAGCGCTCGCACACAATGAATTAGTGCTTTCCTGCGTGAGAGCCGCGCGTGTTGCGCCTTCTCGGGAGGGCATGTTAGACACATTGCTACAGCCTTGCATTTCCGTCTGCCAGATGTAAAATACTAAACGTTCGAGACATTCATACGTCGTCGAATTCGAGGCGATCGGGGCGTTATATTCGACGGAAAATTCGACGCGCTCGCGACGGATAAATCGCGCGGAAATACACGACAGTCGATGGAACGATACAAATTTCACCGTTCGCATCTGTTACATCAGCGGGGATTATATAACAAACAGATTTACACACGTGTTTGTTTTAATTCTTCATTTCGCGAGCGACGCAGAATTTCGCGAAATCTCAAAATTGTTTTCATCCGAAGAGATATTCGCAGAAATATGCACGGAAAATTATCGCGAGCTTTCAGGTGCTCGCGCGTAACACTTTTAATTACATCAATATAAATTGCTTTATATAAACCGTTCGCTTTATTACGCACGATATTTTTACAATAGAAGAAAATAAGCGGAGGATCAATCTAACAATAAGCTGTCGATTGTTCGACATTTACTTCCATCTCGACGGTATTTATATTACATCCTGTCCCGATGTATTTATAATCATTATATATTTTTAATCATTTCATCATTGAATATATTTTCAACCGTTGAGTTTCATTCTAAAAGTAAGCAGAGCGAACCACCTCCGCGCTCCAGTTATATTTAATTAAGTTAATTGTTATCTGTAATTAGAGATAGTGCTCTTTCAGTACTAACTTGGAAATACTCATACACGATAGTCGTATGTGTAGCTTAAGCGACCAAGAAATAAGAAGGTTTATTCGCTTTAAGAAACGTACCATTTCATTCTTCATTTCGAGAGCGAACGCAATTATTGGAAAATATTTCGGCAAATCGCCAGAGCTTTTCACCACGATTGCGTTATCGTTATGGCAATTTATGTAAATATATAGCATTGTAAACACCCAATTTACTTTGCAAGAGTTTGCAATAGTACTAAAAATGTTATCGAGCCACAAAGTGTACATACAACGAATCTCTATCGGTGAAATTAATAAAATGAACGTAATGGCGAAATAAAAGTTGAACGCGAGTTTTACGTTAAAAGGATATTTTCTCTTGTATTGGTTTATACTTTGACGGGCAATGTCATTATCGTATCGCTAATAATTCAATTCGCACGACGATAGTGGCGCCCGATAGCGCGCCGCTATTCCTATCGCGCGAACTTTTAGAGAACGCAACAGGCGTTGCGAAAAATATTCATTTGTATTCATCGAATAAGTTCGTATGCGGGACAGGTCTATAAAGCTATTGTGCATTCGATTCGGTTTGAAACGAACGAAATTAGGCCACGCAATTCGATTCACTCACGCAGCACTATGTGAATGGTCGTCTAATTGAGTAGAGACCTAGGAATCTTGAAAACAATGCGGACTTTGTGAACGTAACAACAGTGTATTCTGATGTAACAATGCGCGAATAAAACTGCAATAAATATATTGTAATATATATACTTTCGTTGAGAAAATGAGATATATGGCAGTAAATAATATATTTGCAAATATTTACAGAAAGAAAATTTTGAAATGTTAATTTTTTTGTCACATTTTTTTGTTCAGAAATTTAATGTAAGCTTGTATCCATAATTGATCCAATTTTTCTGAAGTGTTAACACAAATTAATAACAGCGCTCGACGAGACGATCAAATGAGTGTGTATAGTTGTCCGTAGCAAATTTCGCTGATGCTAGATAAGTCAAAGTTTGATAAACTTCATTAGCCGGGCTTAGAATTTATGATCTGTAAAAAATTCAAAAGTGTCGAGTTCTCCGTCGCGACTTTTATCTGCGTTACGCTACACGTTCCAGCACTTCCTTCTTTGTTTTCTTTTCTTTTTTTTTTCGTTACTCACAAGCTGCCAAGTCCTGAAGTTGTTGGAATTCTGCTGGTGAGAGCTTATCCCAATGAAAGGCCATCTTTACTTCTGGTCTGTGTGTCCCTCAGGACGGGCGACCGGGTGTTCGATACTGAAATTCGTCACCTGCAAATCAAAAGATATAGCTGTCAGTAAAGTAAAATCCCGCGTGTCGAATTTTTTCCATATAACTGTATTTCATTCTTTCTTATTATACGAACATTCTTTCCGCTTCAAACATTTCAAACTCTCAATATCGCGCTTAAAATTGTATTATGAGCACACGTACAGCTAGTAAAATTTTCGTTCTTAAAATGTAAATGATTAATTACATTGTTGAATCGCGTAGTTTATTATTCAGCAATGATTATGATTCAAATCATATAAATTACAAAAGGCAAAGAGAGTGCATTTAATTGCCGTGAAAATAATTTTAGAAAAGGACGAAATTCAAAGTATTCAATTATGCAGCTTTAGTTAAGTAAATCATCTGTTAAGTCAACCTACACTGGTAATCGTGTTTGCTATTGATTTAGTATCCTCTACAGTGGTTTATGCTAATATATACTCCTGTACATTCGTTACGCATCAGTCGTCCGTGCTAAAATTACGAATTTACGGCTGCTGTGGCCGCTTTTCTCTCGCTACAACGCGCCTATGCGCAAGAGAATCCGAACGATCGAGCGTATTTCTCCCGCAAACACGAGGTGCGGCGGCTGGTGGACATACGTTCCGTTAGTGAAGTTTGTAACGTCCATTGAAATTCATTCGCTCCGGGCTTTTGTACGTATCTCCCTTTTCACTGTACTGCCTTTGACCGCGCCACATAAAACTTTATCTACAGAGAAAAAGCCAGCACAAGGTCCACGTTCAACGTAAATCGGATCTTCTTTTCGAAATTTCGCTACGATCAGTCATTAATTTGTAAATATTTGCAGATAAAATTTTCAATAAAAAAGCAATTTACACTAATAAGTTGATACTATTGTAAATAATTGTTAAATAATAGTTTTTTTTCTATAAATAATCAATGTAGTTGTGAATGAAAAAAAATTGTTTAACAAGTAGAAAATTCATTTACGTATACATTGTTTCATTTTTCAAAATATTTAACGTCAATTTTCTTTTGTTCGCAAATGAAATCTGTGGTTCTGTATGTAATGAAAATGCAAGAGTTTCTGGGAGTTCATTTGCATAACGTAATTGTAGTCGAAATATTCTACGCATCATAGCTCCGGAATGCAATTATATGAAAATTCGCTTTATGTAGTGTTAATGCTTCATTTTAGTATTTTAGAGGATTATAGAACAAAGAGAAATTCAGCATTGTGCAATAACTTTAAGCATCTCAAATGTATAATAGCGACACATTTTCGTACGGTATCAGAAATTTTCTTTTTCCCCGCGTTCCAAATTTTCACTTTCAAATATCAATGAAATCGTCATAAAATTGATGGAACGTAACTTTTCCAAACAAATGATCGACATTTATCGAGAATTCGCAATAGTCGCGTAACGATTCGAACGCAAGCTGAATGTGCGAATAATGAAATTAGTTTTAGGAGTTGTAAAGAGTTCGGATAACGGTGTATTGATGGGTGATTTAAACGAGCGTATCGACGAATTATCCTCGCCACTTTGCACAAGCCGCAATCCACAGCGTGCGGGTGACAATGAGTTTAATCGATCAACGCGCCGTGATAATACATGATCACGTTAATCCCGAATCGACGCATCTCTATGCGATACTTTTTTTTTAGGGGGGGGGGTTTGATCGGCTCCCCGCAGTCGCGAATGAGCCGATAATTTCGTCGCGAGTACTACATAATCCACGGTAAGCAAAGCCGCATGATCCGGCACGGAAGCGCACGCCGCGGGCGTGAAATGCAATTTTGTTGGTCCGTTGGCTTTTTCTGTGATTTATCGCGCCGTCGGCCGCCCACGGATCGGCATTCCTGCGCGCGCGAATAAAATGCCACCACCAATCGATGTGGCGGGCGCGCGTTGTAATTAGTGCCGTGCACACAGATCCGAATGAAGGACAGGCCCGAGCATGCCGGGTTGGCGCGCGGCCGGATAATCCTCCGGGGAATAAATCTCGCGCACAGGACGGCGGAGGATTGCGGAGCTTTTTCACGCGGAAGACTTCTCGTCCGTCTACTTTTTCCGTCAAAGTATCGCAGCGAAGAGACAGCACATGCGAACTTCGTTTCAGAGAAAGGAAGCAATTCCCAAAAGACATGCGTACAGTTTAGGTAATTGGCTCTCATACGCAGAAAATAAACGTCCACCCCGCACATATGTAACAGCTTCCATTATATCCTCATATTCGCACGCTAATTACAGCGAGATAGTAGTACACGTGTTGCCCAGGAAAAGACACTTTTTTTTATTTTTACATGAATATCTTGTTTACAAGGCTTGCAACACGTAACGTTGCGCAAGAAGATATAAAAAAGTTCGTTCCTAACGGCCCTTTCAATATACCGCGGTAATTGTAAAGCCTTGCAGCGGGAAAATATTTTTTTTCACAAACGATGGAAAAATGTGCCGTTGCGTATGTTTGTACAGTCCGTTGTTTGTACGATTCCTTTTTTTTTTTTCCCAACTGACAAATTGCTCCCACCACCTGCGGCAGCGCATTGTGACTAGAGAATTGAATTTCGCAGATTTTCTCACGAATATTCTCACTTTTATTTTTTCGTCGTATCACGTATGTGTATTCTAGCACAATTATTTTAATATACATCTTGCAACCACTAAAAGTAGTATATTTTATAGGAAAAAAAAAAAAAAAAAAAAAA